AGGCCATGTCCATCGACCATTGTCTTGTCTAAAGATGCTTTCGAAGCTGTTTCGCGTTCTCCCAATGCTAAAATCAACATTGAATACATTCAGTGAATTCCCATTCATCCTTCTTTTCTTGGCTTCATCTACTCCTTCCTTTCGACATACTAATAACTATAATTCTACTACTTTTGCAGGGTTTAATATGCATCAGCACGTGCAGAGTTTAGCTATTTATTGTGAACATCAGCTCCATACATTGGAAAATTTGTAATCTATACAGTAAAGATGTCGAGTACTATAATTGTACTGCTCTCCAATAATTATAATTACTTCTCTTTTAATTATTTTCTATCAAGAATATTTCCAACTTTTATTATTTAACCATGCAAAACAAGAACTTTGTAGTTCAATCAAGGAGATTGCTCAGGTGATCAAAATAAGGCACACTCTGTTATGATATCAGCTATGCCCCGACATCCAATCTCCATAAATTTCCGTACCATTGACGGCGGATTTCACTAATAAATCCACCGAGAGATACATAATTGGACAATAAGATAAAACAAGAATCCAATTTCGGTCAAGTCTAAAAAGTGTATAAAAACACACTTATCAGTTGGGTATTTAATTAAGTGTGTAAAGCGAAATTAAACAATTTCAATACCTAAACCATGAACCTAGATGACCTTTGTGAATCCGTGACAAGAATTATATTGTTGATTATTATGATTAACTAGAATAATTTTGAATTTGATCCACAGACCAAGAACGAACTTATAGACCCACCACCATGCGCAGGGAGGTCGGATTTCGGATAACAAATTTCTTGATTTTTGCCATTTCCTCTGCTAGCAAGTAATCAAGACATAAGTTTTATGAAATACTAAAAATTATCCCAAATCCTAATCCAGTAACCATTAGACTTAGGACATAATACTTACAATCTCTCACTTGGAGTATATAAGTCAACTTCCAAATTTTCAAATCTCGCCTTTTTGTGTGTGACAACACAATAACAAACATCGCGATATTATAACTCAAAATAAAACAAATCAAAACCCTCATTTTAATTTATCATTAATCTACCTAAACTAATTAATTTATATCATTGTCAAGATTGACATCCAGCAGTATGTCAAAAAAATTCACGTGAAGGGAAATGTCACGCACTATGACAAAATCATATTGCTAGATTACCATGGTAATTTCTATCAAGAATATTTCCAACTTTTATTATTTAACCATGCAAAACAAGAACTTTGTAGTTCAATCAAGGAGATTGCTCAGGTGATCAAAATAAGGCACACTCTGTTATGATATAAGTTGATGTGAGCTATAATTGAAACCCCTTTTAACTAATTACTCTACCTTGGCCAAGAAAATCATCAATCAATGTTGGTAGACAATATCCAGGTCTTATTCATTTACTATTTAAGAGTGATGGATCTTTTATTTGTCATTCAATATTAATCTATATAAAATTTTAGGCACATCCGTATGATGTTGTTTTGATTATTTAAACAAAGCAGCGTCAAACGTCACAAAGTGTGTTGGTCCAAATATAAAATACTGTGATCACTTCAAGACAAATGATCAATGCACTATTTAACACCTGAAGAGTTTTGCTGACTTTAAGATATTATATATGCAAAATCTTCGTTGTAGTCATCTAACGAATCGTTCCTCTAACAACTCATATCCATTGAAATGTCTCTACGTTTTAGCTTGTGAGATTAGAACGTTTCGTCACAATAAGACGATGTTATACATGCTAGTCTTTACGTAATTACAATATCAGGATCTCTCAATCATTAATGACTAGGA